AGGGGCATGGAGTCCCCAGGCCTGGTCCTGACACCATCCCCCGGCTTACTTACGCTATCCCCTGGGCTGTCCCAACCTCTCCACAGGCTGACTGCACATCCCTGCTCTCTGGCCAGGTGGGCCACCTCGACCCCGGAACCAATTCTAGAACAACATGCGTCACCCCTTGAAGTCCCACAGGCACCAGTGAAGGGGAACTCGGGCTGATGGAACTGTCCTATACCTTGAGTGTGGCAATGGTTACATGACTATACACATTTGTCAAACTGTACAACCACACACTAGGAAGGGTGAATTGACCACATGCAGATTATGCCTTGATAAAAAAGGATGGGGAAAAGGCCCACAGGCCCCTCAACCCCTCACTAACATCAACATCTTCCCTCAGACCAGCTCCTCCTCTTCCTGGACCTTGTTTTCAGCAGTGACACAACCATCGACCCCAAACACCTCCTCCCCAACTAGAAATCTCAGCCCCTGGCCAATCAGCCCCTTAATCTAGAAAGCCTACCTGCACAGATTTAGTCTCTTAAATCTATCCCTCATATACCACCTCCACCTGCCCACCACCTGAGCCTCAGGCCACCCTCACTGGGCTCTCTGCCATCCACCTGCCCTGCCACCTGAGGGCCTTCCCCTCCCCATGGCAACACCCACCTGCGGCCAGACCTTTGCCTCCCCCCCCCCGCTCAGTTTTCCAGCTTCAAGAGCTTCCCTCTCCCATGAAAACCACACTCATCCTTCAGGCCCCAGCCTCCAAGCACAGAAAGCAGCCTTCCAGCCCTTTCCAGCACAGTCAACATGCTCCAGCCTGCTTCTCACCACGGAGGGCTGGCTCCCCCTGTAGGTCCTGTGCAGTCAGCCAGCCCATGCTGCGTCCTCTCAGGGTCCTCCAGGCTGCAGCTGCATTTGAGTGGTGGGTGTTCAGGGAACCCTCTCTGGCCTGCACTGAACTGCCAGGTGACGGTCACCAGGAGCACTATGCCAAGCCCTCCTTAACCAGCTCACCGGTGAGGTAAATGTGGCACGAACACAAGGGGTGCAAGGCTGCTTAGCCTGACCAAATTTGAAAGGCCAGAGCTCCAAGGCTGCTCCAGAAATGGGGGTTCCCCCTCAATCTGCTCTCTAGCGCAGCCCCCACTGCTCCCCCACCCTCAGCACTCACTCACCCCATGCCTCTCTGCTCAGGAACTCCACCTGGACCCACACTACTCAACAGTGGTCTTTGGCCTGGTAATGTCCTCAACAAGACCTACAACAGGAGTAAGCACTTACAAATATTTAAGTGCTTAGACACATCTGAGCACTGCTGTGAAGTTTCTACTGTGTTTTGCAAAAGCACTGGCCTTCAACAAATTGTGGGGGGGGGGGGCTGGTCCTTCACCACAGAGGGTTTGGGAAGCACTGTCCCCTCACCACCCCCCATCACCAACTCCCAACTTTTCCTGCTTAAATCCTGCTCATCCTGAGGCCCATCTAACATGCTTCTTCTCCAAGAAGCCTTCTCGGTTTCTATCAGCTAGAAGTGGTCTGACCCTGAGACCCCAGTCCAGACCACACAGGGCATTTAGATAGGCATCTGCACACCCCTTGCTACAATTCCCTGAAGTCAGGGACCCAGGTCTTGTTTACTGTCATATTCCCAATGCCATGCTCAAGGCACATAATCAATACTGGCTCAACAAGGAGTAAATAACATTCCAGAGTGGGCTTTTCTTCAGGGGCACCAACCCATAGGGAACACAGGGATTTTCCACGGTTTGGACAAAATGCACCCCCTCTCCACAAGCCCAGATGGAAATGGAAGAATTTTTTAAAATAAAAGCAAGTCAAGGGTTCTCAAAACAAGAGCTAAGTGGCTACTCAACCATAACAGATTCTACGTCACCCTAAAATGGCAATATGAGTGAAAAGCCCTCAGCTTTCTCATGAATCTTCTCTACATGCACACACTAAACCTAAGTCACACCCAGGTATGAAGAATGAAAAGAGATTTTTCAGGGTCATTTCCAACTTTAAATATTCTGTGGGCCCCTGACCTCAACGTAAAAGGTCAGGGCTCAGGAGCCTGTAACCCCACCAACAAAGGACATGCCTGTGGACAGACTGTGGACACACACACAGGTTCCCAAAATGCAGAAGAAGCCCCCTCTCAGATCCCACCCAGCTGCATCTCACGTGGGGTCCAAGCCCTGCCTCTGCGTCAGCAGACTCCACAAAGGGCACAACTCCTGAAGGAGAAGGGCCCTTGCACCCCAGCCCACCAGCCCTCCTTTCCACCAGCTCTCCCAAGCTCCTAACTATTATTTAGCAGGAATGCTGGAACTATTTCCAGATGCCACTGTCAGATCAAGACAACTCACCATCTAAATACTCCTGTCTAATTTTGCACACAGCTCTTCTTTCAACTGACAAAGATAACAACTCAGTGTGCGTGGCTCCTGATGGAAAATTATCCTGCCAAGTTTGGAGCTTCCCAAGAATAGACTTCTCTACACTTCTTTTTTAAAAAGGAGAAATGAGTGGCCTCCCTGTCCAGATACTCTTCTACAGGCAACACAGGACACCCAAAAGAACCCCTGAGGAATGTTCGTGGAAAAATTCTAATACAGCCCCACAGGATCAATTAACAAGAAAGGGAAATGCATGGGAGGAGCCTGGGATGTTTGTCCCCATCCTGTGCAGTGATCAGTGGTTTTCAGCTTTTCTACAGCCCCATCAGTTTGGTACTTCAGAGATTTGGGGCGTCAATTCAGGTTACACTGAAAAAAAAAATCTAGACTTTCTCTGTATGTAAAGAAATGGCCCACTATCTCTGACATTGATGCTTGGATCAACTACAGAACTCTACAAATTACCCATGTGGTCCTGCTGCATCATTATACTCTGGGTACATGTAAACATACCACAGGTGTGTTTGAAATACAGCCACTGTCTGTAGACATGCGCCACCCCTTCCCATGTCACAAGAGATGTCTGAGCAAAAAGTAAGGATGAGTAAAGCACCATTGTGGAAGTGCCACTGGTGGGTGAATAACCAAGGTGGCCTTTCTGCAGGCATGCAGAGAGCTTAAACTTCTTTGCTATTCAGCAGACTCACAGACTCCAAGAAGGGACTAGCGGTTACCAAAGGGGAGGGGTGAGGAAGGGCGGGTGGGGAGGGAGGGAGAAGGGATTAAAGGGCATTTTGATAACACATAATGTAGGGGGGTCATGGGGAAGGCCGCATAGCACAAAGACAAGTAGTGACTCTATAGCATCCTACTATGCTGATGGACAGTGACTGCAATGGGGTGTGGTGGGGACTTGATAATATGGGTGAATATAGTAACCACAATGTTGGCCTTCATAAGATTGTGTATCAATGATACCTTAATTTTAAAAAAAGGCAAAAAAAAACCTTGTTTGCTATTTAAAAACTGCCCCATGGTTTTTCACATGCCTATTGCCCACCCCACCCTGCCCCAGTCTTGCAAAGTCCCCAAAGACAGACACTACTAGTCTTGCACTTCTGCACTTGGGACCCCAAAGCACTGCCATGCACACTAATGCCCATGACTTGCTACCTTCCCTCTCTCCCACCCCCTGGGGTCAGAGGCGGGGTCTCCTTTAAAGCCCAATCTACAAGGCTTCCATCATTGGTTTAGGGCAGGGGGCACATTATCCTCTGCCTAAGCTTCTTAACTGCTCATGGCAGGTCCCAGGAGGCCTCTGGCAGCATGGGAGACTCTTTTTAGAGTCTTACCTCAGTGGTTCTCTTTTGCCCTCTAGGAGACATCTAGCACTGCAAGTATGTAATAGATAGAGGCCAGGGATGGTGCTATGAATCCTACAAAGCACAGGCCAGCCCTCGCACCACAAAGAATGATGAAGTCCAATGTCAAGTCTGAAGGTTGAGAAACTCTCTCTGAGGTGATACAGGGAAGTTCTCAGACCACCTGTCTCACTTTTCTTTTAGTTCCAATGTTAGGCAGAAAATTATTACAACCCTGTACTGTGTGCACTATTTGGAAGGCTGAACAAAATGCCCCAAACCAGCGCCTTAAAGATGCTGCTCCTGTGAACCACCCAGTGCCCCTTGCCCCAGCTTTGCCTCTTCTCAGAAGTGCCCACCTGCCAGGATTATCCACCCATCCACAGCCTGAGAAATGGGAAGTTGGCATCATCGTGTGTGCTCAAATCCTTTGGCAACAGGTCAGGCCTGGCAAATCCAGCTCTTTAGTCTTCTGTCACGCACAACCAAGGCCCAAGTGAGGATGGACAAGTTTCCCAATGGGCTCTAGGCCCAACCCAGGCTTCAGGAGGCTGACATCTCTCACCCAGATGGAGAGCCCCAGGACACAGACCTGCCCCTACAGCATTCCCGGTCCCCAAAACACTTGGTAAAACTGGCCTGGGTTTGGCAGGGCAGGTGGAGGCTAGGAAAATGCAGTTTAGGCATTTAAGCCCAAACCACTCACAAGACTCCCAGTGTTTGGGAAAGTAGGAGGAAGGGCCAAAGCAAAGCAAAACGTTCAGAACCATCAAGAATGCCCTTTCCCAAGTTCACCCAAATCCTCCACCTGTGAAACCCAACAGCTGACTCGGTGCAAGTGACAGGTTCTGATACAAACCTGCAGCCAGAGGCAGAGAGAGCCCCTGAGACACCGTGCCATGGAGTCTAGGATTTAAAAGAACATTATCGTAAGCAAGTGAAAGGAAAGCCGTACTAGCGGCCCAGGGCTCGATCACCGCGCTGCCGGCTCCTCCAGGACCCGGCTCCGGCACGCGGCCCTCGCTCCCTCACCGAGCAGGCCAGGCGAGCTGCGGTGGGCACGCGGTAGGAGCCAGGTGCAAGGCTCCCGTCCCGTCCCGCACCCTGAGGCCGCGTACCGCGCCGCTGCCCCGCGGCCCGTGAAGCTCGCAAGGGGAAGCCGAGCTGTCGCTTGAGGCTGCACTGCGGGCCAGGGCGCGTGAAGAGCCCCGCTCTGGCCGCAGGTAGGCGGCGGTCCGGGCCTTACCCGAGCAGGAAGCCGGCTCTGCGAAGCCCCTCAGCGCCGCGTCCGCGCGCCCTCAGCAGCGCTGGCCCCAGCACGCGCTCAGGATCTGTTTACCAGACTCCCGCACCCGGACCCCGCGCCGCCCCGCCCCGCCCTGCCGGCCGCTCCCATTGGCTGCGCCTCCGCCGCTAGCCGCACGCCGCGCGGCGCGGGGTAGCATGCTCGGCCCGTGCGTTCCGCCCGCAGCCAATCGGGATCGAGGGCGGAGCTAGCAGAGCCAATGGGAGGCCGCCCCAGCTCCGGCCCCTCCCATTCCCCCGCTCCCTGTTGCCCTTTCCCCTAGTTGGGAAAGTGGGATTCTAGGCCCCGCTCTGCGGCGGCCGGCGTGACCTGAGTGTGACAATTGAGCGGGCTCTTCTCGGGCGAGCTCCGTGCCTTCCCTACCGGTGCTCAGCGGGCCTCCAAGCGGTCTCAGGGGAAGCAGCGGGAGAGGCGGGCGGGCTGCGGCGAACGCGGCTGGAGGCCGGCGAGGCCCACCCCCCGCCCCGCTTCCTGTGCTTGGGCCCTGCTCCCGGGCCCGCAGAAGGGCGCTGGGCTGTGGAGCCCGCCTCGGCACCCCGGCCCTGCCCGCACGTCCTTTATCTCGGTGAACCGGGGACTTTGTGTGGGCGTCCCCCAAACGGGCTGATCCTGAGGCGCCGCGCAGGGAAGCTCCGCCGCCGCCCTGCGGGGCCAGACCCCGATCCAAGCCGCGCCTGCCCGTCCGCGATCCCAGGCTCTGTCTGCAAGCGCTATCCGCCTTTGTTAGTGGATCTGGTGGGAAAAAGAAAATTAAGAACAATTTAGTGAATTTTCGTAAAACCTAATATTCAAGCCAAAGAACTGTCCCTTATTCTAAGTCTGTATTGTGGAATTCAGGTTAACGCTTTGGAAGCTTACTTATTTTAATGTTTTACTTTGAGAAATTAAAACCGTCTGTGTTGATGCCTGACGAGTGTGTAATACACCAGAGGTGACATGAAGGCCGGGCTCGTGCCAAACGACCGGAGGGCGGGCTCCTGGCGCCATGTACCCTGGACACAGCTGCCTTGCTTTCTGGGCAGGCGGGCGGGGCGGGGGTTTGTACCGCGGGAGGGGCTGCCCTGTGTGGCTTCTCTGGCCAGGAGGCCTCTGCAGGACAGCCACATACTCTTCACTGGCCAAGTTCGGATGGCCCCACCGTCTTCTACACCTCAAATACAAAATCTATTTGAGGGAGAATCAAGGAAAGTAACTGCCCCAAACAGTACTGGCTAACTGGGAGACTGGCCTTGAGTAGGCAGCTGGCTCCCTTTTACCACATGGAGAAAGATGGAGCCTCTGGGCTAAGCCTTCAAAGGTTGTCCGTAGCCCCCTCCTACACAGCAGTTTCCTCATACTGACTGCTTTCCTGGGAAGGATCAAGTTGCCCCCAAATGTGCCACCTTTCATATGGACTGTTTTGAGCCAAAGGCAACCGGGACCCTGCAGGTTCAAGAGAAACTCTTGCCCTTCCCCATCTGTACTGCAGGGCAAATATCTTATTACCAAATGTCTGCTCTTCTCGTCCCCTTTTATTAGAGTCCTTTCCTGATCATCCTACCCAAGTATGACATCCTGTTCTTCTAACTTGTCTTAAGGGAACTCAGTATTCCCTCATCTTGCTTTATTTTTCATCCTAGTATTTTTTTATCGTCTAACATGTCTACTTGTTTATCATCTGTCTCCTCCAATTGGAATATAAATTTCATGAGAGCTGAATCTTCGTTTCTTGGTTTACTGCTATGTCCCCAGCACCTAGTCAGTGCAAATAGTCCGAGGCAAATAGTGTTTTATGAATACTATGGTTAAGAACATGGGTCCAGGACCCAGACTGTGTGCCTCAGTTTTCTCCTCTATAAAATGAGGATATAGTACCTATATCTAAGATTGTTGAGGATTCAGTGAATTAATATATGTAAAGTACTTAAGATGATGCCTGTCACATAGTCACATTATATAATTTTTGTTATTTTTGCTTAATAAATGAGTGATAAACCCAACATTGTATATGTATCATGAATTTTTTCATTTATCATTGTATATGTAACAATTTTTTACAAAATTGTTAGTACACATACACCTGAAAATGACTTCTAGATTTTGAAATGAAAAAAGGACCACTTCTGCAATTTCATCTGACTTATTAGCTGTGGTATTTTAAGTGCTTTTAGAACATCTTGGTGTTACCAATCCATAGATACTAGGTAACTAGGACTCTCACATTTTGCCCACCAAAAATCAATTATTTTACTTTCATAATTGCATCTTTTATTTCTAAATGATGTCAAAGTATGTAAAGTCAATTTATATACTGGTTGCAATATTTCCTCTTTAACACTATCCTGAGGCACATTTGTAGAATTAAAATATTCACATTCCACGTTATGTAGTAGTGCTCAATGTCAGTATTCTTTTTGATTTTGTTAAAAATAAATGCATGGAGAGGAGCCAAGATGGTGATGTGAG